AATATTTATTATTTTGTTAGACCGCTACGTTTTGACTTAGCAACTATAAATCCTAACGATAGGGAGGACGAAAACCTTTCAAGACTTGCATGAACGTAGGTAACGTGAGCTTAGATGGCGAGTAGCCAAGGTGATCGCAACATTAACTGAATCCTTCAATTCAGTATGCAAGTCGTGACAAGGAACACGGAATGACAATCTATTCTGCAATTACGTGTGGAAACCTGCTTAGCTGCGGGTCTAAATCCTTCAGGCAAGGAATTCGGAAATTTGATAACCCCGGGACAGCCAGGCAGGCATTCAGACTCATGTGTTTTGGTTTTAAATTAACTTATTTCAGCAAGAGCGTAATTGGGTGAAAGAATATATTGTCTGCATAAATCAGTGTGTTCTGAAAAGCTTTTCATATTTCCCACTGATATTTTGTTAAATCAATGAGGCAGCATATAGAAATTGACATCTGCTACGAGGATCTTATTGCTCATACTTCGGAAACCCGCCAGTTATGCTGATAAGTTAACACGCGATAGCGTGTAAAACAATATATCAGTATTACTTTTCACATGAATAAAAATCATTCTAGTCGGTTAAGTGGGAATTTCGTTCACGAAAGTCGGCTTAATTAACTAATCGATAAAAAATGTCCTTCGCTTGATTCTCATGCCCAACACAAGGTTAGTTCGTCCAATCAGCTGCTTGGAGCCAAGTTGGTCTTTTCTTCATATAAATTCTGCTGGACTATTTGCTTTATAGTGACATGGATGTCTCAAACCGGGTCATTCTGAATGTTGGTGGAGTCCGTCACGAAACGTATAGGGCCACTCTCAAAAAGATCCCTGCAACCCGTCTGTCACGACTCACAGAAGCACTAGCAAACTATGACCCAGTTCTCAATGAATACTTCTTCGATCGGCATCCAGGCGTATTTGCGCAGGTTTTGAATTACTACAGGACCGGAAAGCTTCATTATCCGGTAGATGTGTGTGGGCCTTTGTTTGAAGAAGAATTGGAGTTTTGGGGTCTGGATTCAAATCAAGCAAGTTTTAATGCCATCTATTAAGAATTGATGCTTATGGTAATTTTGCATGCATGATATGTCACTTAAAAACTTGATACACTTGAAACCACGTTTATTGTGTCCTTCGAAAGTGACATAACGGATTTTATACTCGTAAACAGAACTTTCTAAAATTTACACCAAATATCTGGAGGTCATTCACGCAAATATCTATCACAGAGTTTGTAACAAGTCTTGTATGTGCTTATGGGAGACACTGATGCATATGTTTTTCAGAACCCCTGTAACGTGCCGAACAACTTTAATTAGAGAAAAATTATTAATCTCTACGATCGTATTTGTGGGATTTAAGCGGTACGGTCATAGGCCCGTGTTCTTCTCAGCAGGACAATAGAAATGCCGTTTTGCAGACAATGACTCAGATAATGGATAATGTTGGCTAAAAGCGTGAAACCTCAAAATTATGTCTCTTTTTCCCCGGGATTTTGTGTATGATCTTGGACTTTAAAGTACTACGCGCTGATCCAACATCCTCTGAGCATCCCTCCAAATGAGGAAGATCCATTGACAATCAAGATGCAGACTAAGATGATAACGACTGCATCTACACATGTGTACGCAAGCTGAATTGCCGGTTTCTTATCTGCGTCCCAGTCATTACCTAAAATACAAAATATAGCTACTAACGAAAATGGCTACAGCTTACAAATATGTAACTAAATGCAGATCATAGGCCATTAATACAATTATTGAATGTTAATATGCCTTAAGGAAAGCAAATTATTTTATCTATTTCATATAAGTTCGAGCCTTGTATTGCATACTTATGTTCTGTTTTGGGCTGCCAGATGGTCATCTGTTGTGCTTTAAGATGTGTGGCCCACCGAACGTCCATATATGCTTTCGTCCTTTTTTAAAAATAGAACGACTAAAGTCTTAAAGAAAATAATCGGATTCCATTTTTGGCTTATTTGCTGCTATCTACCATCGATGTCCCAACACCGAGTACCGCATCCAGTCCGCCAACCCCCTTTTAATAAATGAGACTCGAGTAGCGTCCTCTGATTTGCCGCCAATTTTGGAGCATCAATATCTAATGATAGCTAATACGTCGGACAAAAAGGAATAGTTAGGCGTCTTTTCTTTTCCTTATAATATTCTCACAAAGCGTCACGCAACTATCCGCTTTATCTTGTGAGAATTGACGTTAGTTTAGGCGTGAAATTACGCATTCACTTTCTCCTTGGCGTAGTCAGGACATTGAAACAGGCTCTAGAGAGACAAAGTAAATTACTTACAGCGACCAGCCTCACAGCCAAAACCACTCATTTATTTATCCGAAGGAGCGCTTGCATCAATGTTCAGCACTGTCTGTGGTGACTAGCTTGAGTTGCCCAGCGGCATCCGCAGTTGCTAGCGATGGTTAGTGAGTGGATTGGAAAATAAGTTTGCTGAAAGCATAAGGTAAGGTTCAGATCACAAGACGCACCTGGAAGAAAGAGCGATGGATGCGTGATACAAAGAAGGCCACTGGTTAAATGATCCCTACCCGAGTGTTTATCATCTTTCTTAATATCGGTTGGTCGTGTGCGATATGTCAAAAAAAGACGAAAGTTCATAGTATCCCGCAACTCATACTTGCTATCTGATAGGCTGCCTGTCGAATTCAAGCAATAAACACAACATCTCAAATGTTGACGGATAGAGATGACCACTAATCCAGCATTTTCCGCAAGATTTCCTCCATTCACTGTGAATAAACTCACGTACACAATCCAAATAATACGGGAATATCAAAAACGATGTGTAATGACAAAGAACTGCATCTATCGACATCATGACTAGTTGTCATAGAATGAATCGCGAAATCCACTTTTTGTGTGCCTTTGTTTAAAGCGTTGCTAGCGCAGTATGCAGATGACACCAGTATTATACTTTGAATAAAGAAAAAATTGGCTATTACTTGCACGAAGGTTAGGCACCGACTGTCATCCCTTCTGCGCCAAGTACGCCTCCGAAGTTGAGCATGTACTCCATGGCTGAAACAACCACCAGGAGAACGTTGTTCCAGATTGAAAAACCGCGGCTTTGTGATCTCACATAAATGCAGGCCCCATAGTTCAGATTTATAAGAATTAGTTGCGGCCTGTCTCATGCTGTCCAAAGAAAACTAAGTTAGCGCTTCATCTGAAGGCATTATAGGCACTTCTAAAGGTTACAGATAATTGACGCGCGTAGAGGAGAGAGGTCGATTGTCCTGAAGAAGTGTATTTCCTTATCGTATCCACTGGTAAATTATTATATATCATTGAAGAGATATAATATGGGGGTTTAAAACGTTTGAACTCAACCGGAAATATGATAACGATCGCGTCTTCTTCCCCTTTACAAGAAATACGATGTATGTTTTCCTGTGAAGCATTCATGAACGGACATCTAAGGTCTTCATGGTCTTAAAATTCACCTATTATCTCAAAATAGAAAAAGCATTTCATTCAAATGGGAAATTTGCAGGTGCAGCATAATTTATAAGCAAATAACGCCACATACGATACTTTTGTGTTATTTTTATGTAAAATATGATTAGATCTATTAATAATATTGAAAATTAATGACGGTATAAAATGTTCAGGCACTGCTATTTTAATACCTGTGCTTTTGCTGGCGCTGAAAAAAATACATACATTCAACAACTTTTATCCTTGCGTGACGGTACCACTATGAGGTATTGATGCTGATCAGTCCATTAAAGAAATGCTGTTAGGTCACTAAGTAAAGTGTGTGTAACATACTCTGCATATGAAGCAATTATGTATATGAAACGGATGACTCAGTCCATAACAGTGGACAGAAATTTAAGCATAAATGACCTAGAACCGAAGCTGCCTATGTATGACGGACATTTTTTGGATCGCAAGTATGCCATCCTTCCACTTTTCCTTGTTATTTAAATGCAGATTTATTTATTTACAATTACTCTCTTCTGGTTGTTAATGCTGGTACTTTCAGTGGCTTCAATTGCGGTGTCCTTAACTAATGCCTGATGAATATCCACAAAGTCAAGAAACAACCCTCTGCAAAGCATGGTAGCAATTAATAGGCGGCCAAATAGCACAGAGCAGGCTCATTCTACATAACCTTGCTCAGCAGGCAAACCTCAAAAATGTATCAAACGCTAGGGATCTACGCCCTTCAGTCGTTGACTTTTTCACTACTCAGCTAGCAAGTATACTTTGTCAACAGGCAATAAGAAAACTAAGATTGCTAGTGTAATTAGCACGAGCAAAATGTTCTGCGTGAAATATATATATATTTCTGTACCTGACCTATCCCATGAAGGATTTTCAGACTTACAAACGATGCCTATCATTCGTGGACCAGCGCAAACAAGTTAAGTAAGACTTTGAACTAAAAATGGGAGACATTAAGTAAATTGTAAACATAAAAATGTTGCATTAATACTTTTGGTTGAGAAAATCAACTTCTTACAATAACAATAGAACGCTCTGACAACGTCCTAAAGTGATATAACTGAGAGAAGTTCAACACACTTTGCAAACGTTTTGAACATGGTCATCTATCGAAATTTTTCCCTAAATACGTTTCAGGGATAGGTGTAACTACACATATAACCATTAACAAAGAATCCAAAAGAGTTTCAGGTCTCCTTGCTGTATTTTATTTGTTGTTCCAGGACCTTTGACGCCGTGTAGTAAGACAAAAAGGTTTTTGTTCGATTTATAGATATGAGAGTCAACAAGTCTAAATTCTCTATAAGGTTAAGAGTTGATAGGGCAGGCACTTTAACCTTATTTAAAGGTATTTCCAGTGTGAGATTGTAATGGCAGTCGGACCATCACAGAAAGAGCTATTACTATTTCATGTTTTTCTGATTTTTAATCGATTGCCCACAAATAGAGCTCCTGTTCAGTGTTTCCATAAAAACCTTCCAACTAGGCTGCTGAATGAAATTATTTACCCACGGAATGGGTCCTTAGAAATTATTTATAATAAAGATGGTCGTTTGAGTCAGATGCATAGACTCAACTAAACATGAAATAGCAACTCTAAGAAAAATTAACGTTCAACACGGAAGGTTGTCTGCGAATAGGCCTATATTCAATTAAAAAAAGCGTCTAAATTGCTCACTTTTCTGACGGGTGGCTGTGTACTGTAGACTTCTTCAATGTGAAGTCACTGTATGTAGGCTGCAAGTCTTGAAGGTGGTTGTTACGAAAAGTCGGCCAATTTGTACTGCGTCACGCCATAACTTAATCCTTTTTGGACCGTTCCACTACTGGAGCAGGCTTTAAATATGTAAATCTATGGACCTGGGCTTCTGAAACAATATTGACAGGGGTTTATCGGTAAATCCTCGAGTAATTGATCTCAGTGGACTCTCATGTCTCGGTTTGATTGACTTTGTGTCTGTACGATGTCCAAACTAACCTCGGTTTTAGACAAGAAACCGGTAAATTCTCGCTTATGTTAAACGAAGCAGAAAAATAAGTTTGACTTTTTCCAGATTCGTTCGAGTAGAATACCACTTAAGAAGATTTGAGGAACATATTTGACTGTCAAAACGGATGCTCAGAAATCCCTAAATTCACTCATTCGATATGGTGCTAGTAAGATTTACTAAAGCCTGTGCGAACTTATCCAAAAAATAGGAGAAATGTCAGTCTTGGGGCACTGGCCGAGAGATCAAACGTAAGCTTCAGGTTCCTGCGTCAAAAGTATGATGTGAAACCCAGGCACGTAGGCCACCTATTTTATGTTCATGCGCAGATCCTTGAGCAGGCTTTAATACTTTGGATTTACTTGTTGTGAGGTCAATAGCCTGAATGTCCGTGTGTTTCAGAAGATGCTGGCCTGACCAATGACATTCAACGGTCTTTCAGTTTATCCTTAATTTCGCCTTGATTAGTTTGCCGATTACATACCAATAGGAGTTTGTTCGGCCACTACAGTCGTCAGAAGTCATGAGAAAATTGTTAAATTAAAACTGCATTACAGAAACTCGAGATTGACGGGTAGTATCAGGAAAGTAACTTCTCTATGGAAGTAGAAGAGAAGATGATCAATTTTCTCACCTAAAAAGTAATGATGAAGACGGTTGATACATTAATGCATTCCGACATCCACCTAACTACAGAGAATTAGACAAAAAATGTTCCGCCTAAGAATCGTGCACCTCTACCACGAGAGTACTAGGGCAGACCGGAGTAAATGTTGCAGAGAAATCTCATTATTTTGTGACGTAGACAAATTCCATAGATGGTCTTCGCTATGGCGTATCACCTTAATTCGCGTTTCTCAGTGGAATAGTTGGAGCAATGCGTACATTCTTAAGCTTCGCGTTATTTGTTTATACTTTGCCAACAAAGACATCCTCACGGGATTAATCTTTGCACCTTTTCTAAGACATTGGGGTACCTCATGACTCACGACGGAACAAACAGTTTAGCGAGCTCCTCCATTTAACTGACCCTACGTCTAGTCAACATTGCTTGTGTTATTGATTATACATGATCGTGTGCTTTTTTAGCTGAAGAGACGCTAGCCTGACTGTTCGACGTAAAAATATAGAGCCGCGACCGCCAATTACGACTCTTCGAGTGGGTACTAACTTAGTGGTGGACCAAACCACAGCATTTCATGTTGTACTTCGTGTGACGACTTGGCTTTGCCTCAGTTTAGCCGCAGTAAAACGACCTCTTTTCCAGAGGTGATTGAAGATTTGCTTAATATTCTTAAAGTCGTTTAAATGAATTCAACTCCTCGAAAGACTTAAATGAAAAACACCATAGGGCGTCCCGCATATATTTCTTCGTTCTAGTTAAGCGTCATTTATGCATATTTAACCTCAATAGGCTTATAAAAATTTGGACGCTGAGTTGAATCAAAAATCCTCATTTCTGTGACTGAAGATTGATTAAAGGAGGTTTTTCGTTATTTTCAAAAACATTAAGAGCGTAGCTGCGGTACTTTGTTACTGTAGAAGATTACAAAAATGCCAGGCACAGAGAATTGGGTAGCTGTTCACAATTTGCTGCCAATTTCGAGGAGTACAAAGATCCGATTTGCTCAATGAGATCGTATATTCTGTTGTCTTGGACGTTTTTAGTTTCTATTTATGTAAGAATTTTAAAAATTTTACCGACAATTTTGCTTGAAATTCAGCCAAACAGGTTGCGAGATAATTGTCGTCTTGTACATGCTAACAATCATAATACTATTCTGATTTCCTTAAATTATAAATTGTTTGACATTCTACATACATGATAACCGCATGTCACGTGATATTCTGAAGCAGTTTTATGGATCTTAACCATTCATGAGTAAAATAAGGGCTAACTAAGTTCCATGTCAAACGGTGTGAACAAAGAAGACAATAGGTTTCGCTGGAATTCCGGCTTATTGTACCTTAAAACTCTACTTTTCTGAGCCTTTTGAACGTTCACCCGTTTTTTTTAAAAACGCTCTTCTCAGTTTACAATTTACGTTTATGGAATTGGAATACATCCTTCTGTTTAAGAGCATCCATGCATTATGCGTATATTTTTATGATGGGTGAACCATAGCTGGAGCTTTCATTATTGTTCAAGAACCTGTCTTCATCGAAGAAGCAAGCGCTTGGGGATGTGTTAGCATCCACATGACTCGGGACTTTAGAACCCAGTTGTCGATCCCGGATTCTGAAAATCCTTACAAATTCTCCTATGCGCCAGCACAAGTATGTGTAAAAATGGACAAAAATCCAAAAGCTGCAATTCAAATGCTTAACCTATGGAGAAAAGTGAGAGTTTACTATAGTCCGTCCCAAATATAGTTTAAATGGTCAAGGTTTTGCTTCTGGAATCCTTTCACTGCACAAAAGAGGTTGTCAAGTTTATAGTCGTCCACTCGTAGCAGATCGCGACCTTCTCATCCTGGCAAAAATGACGTATGAAATACTATGGGATGACAAGAAGTGCATTACACTACGGCAGCTTTTAATGATAAAATAGGTCGACATTTATGCGGAATTTCTTGTTTTAAACTTTAAAGTAGGACTTACTGCCTTTTGACTATATCATTTCAACTAATGTATTCACTAAAAAATATATTCGAAGGGCACAATTTCATAGTCTAAAAGGTGGTGTCAGGTACCAATGAAAACATAATTATCAATATGTTTTTATGTATTATCACGTAAACGAGTCATGATAAGAGGTAATGCAGTGACGTACGCAGAATCAAAGTGTCCTCTGGTAATAAACTGAAGCATATTTACATTCTGTGGATGTGCTGAAGCTAAAAATAAACATAAAGGCGTCATTTCATGTCGCTTTGGTTTTTGTACAAATGATTACAACGCAAGCAGGTCGTGGTTGTGAGTACGTTACTGCATTTTTAAAACCGCTGGTGCTGTAATTAACTAAGTCGGGACTGTTAATGGAACTTTCATTTCTGGCTTTGTCTCAAACATGGAAACTACTCACATGCCAGTTATACTAGCTAATTCATTGCGTTTGTTAAAGTCGGAAAAGTTAGAAAACTTATTTACAGCTTTTTCTGTTTCCAGCGTTCAAAGTACTTCGGATGTTACAGGTATGGCCTGGTAACGTTAGCCTTAATAGGGAGACTACTTTCATTAGACAGTGAAAAAGGCACCAAAGAATTTCCTAGCGCATGAGACACAGACTTTTCAACTTTTCAAACCATAAATGTCCAAAGAATTTTCAATGCGATATCAGTGAAATATCAAAAGAGATCTCTTACTCGTAAAAGAAGTTCCATATTCTCGGTGCCAGCAGGAATTAATCACTTTAATTACTCTGCCTTTTTCACGACTGTTGGTAATTTTTACTGTCTACTACACAGTAGTTCATTGGTAAGGGAGAAGGCTTTTGGAGTACCAGAACAATTTATTTGTTGTCCTGAGCTCTTTTTCTGTACTTTTGTAAGAGGTTGGAAATTCATGACAATAAACTAATCATTCCAGTGCGTTACAAGCTTTTTCCCTTACCCAGGCACACACCTGGAACGCGAACTTTCTTACTCACAGTAGCATTTTTTTTCGAAAACTAAGGGGGAGCACTGTCTTCATCATTAATACCTACATGGAAAGCATATGCAATGAGTGTTTTTAAAAAATAAATCTTAGCATATAAAGTCCTTCTTCAAACCAACTGCTTGTTTTTTGACAGCAACTGTTATCAAGACAGGCGTTAACTTTTCCTATTAAATGTGCTGGAACTTTCAGCAACCGATCTCCGTGACATTCCTTTTTTATGCAGAATTGCTGATGTGATAAGCATACTATTAAAAATGTAGAATATTCATATGCAGGTCGTTTTCGGGTCGTACTTTGTGCCTCTGACTTGGTATAATTTAATTTGGCCTTCAAGACCCAAAGCGTAGATTCATGTTAGCTAAAATTACCAATATAAACTACTGTTCAGGTGGAGCCATGCTGCTGGATGACTTACACAGCCCATCGAGACACACAGGACACTCTGCAGATTCTCGATCAGGCCGAAATGGATACCGAGGAGATAACCAACGTCGGTCTTTACAAACGCTTCGGCCTGGAAGACGAGTACGAAGACGACACCCTCACTGTTTGGCAAAGGTTAAGACCCCGAATATGGTCGGTGTTTGAGGCACCGAAATCTTCTACGGTCGCAAAGGTCAGCCAGCACATGTTTTTGGTTCAGATGTTTTGCACAATTGCATAACTCCTTTATTCGATGTGCTATCTCAGGCTGGGATGCATTTTCGTTATGAAAAAGATAACGTCCAATAGGGATGTAATATTTATTATCCTACAGCATGCATCCCAGTCAGTCACGTCAATTAAGTCCACGGAGCGACTTTTGAATAAGCTTCGCTTCGGCTACGTGCAAAAACTGCCTTCTGGAAAAATACCTACCTGCGTAGGATTAATCCTTCTTATTTATGTCTGCTTTCCCTATAAAAGCATTCCATTTAAAACACTAACAACATTTTTCCTGCTTTTACTTATTTAGCAGCACATTATACAGTCATCAAAAACCATGCATTTGCATCCAGGGTTTTTAAAATAGAGGTGGAGAATTTGGCATGTAAACAAAATAATATGTTTTAATTCAGTATCAAAACGACATCATACAAGGCTCATTAAAATATGAAGAGGACGCAGTTCAGGTTTATAGTTTACTGTAGGTCGACATTTAACAGTCTTAAAATATCATATTTTTAAAGCCGAATGATATCCTATTGCAAAGTATAATTTGCAAGACCATACTTTTCTCGTTAATGAGCAAAAGAGAATTCTTTTCGGACATCTTTTCTGTTAAACAACATTACATTCATAAAATACTATGCAGGCATTCATTACCTGCTGCGCGTCAGTCTGGCAGGTGGTTGAAACTAAGCCCATTCAAAAAGTAATACCAGAGAGCGAGCGAAATGACCACGGAGTATGCTGTGCAATAATTATTTGTACAAGGTAATGAAATCAACTTTACGTGTCTAAAATATATTTCAGATTTTTGATTTAACTTTCATGAGGTAGCCACTACAGTGAATTTGAGGGAGGCATTGGTGACTGCAGAAACTTAGAAAATGCTACAGTCAAACGTTTTAGTGTTGTTCTCTTTGTTTTTGATCTTAGAAGTGATATGTACAAACAATTCGAATTGGAAATGTTGTGACAAGTCTTCCATTATTTGAAATTTCAGACGTTTGGCTCTGGTTTGCGTTTTTTCAACCGCAAAGTGTACAGAAATTAAAAATTTTTTCGGATGAATGCTATGATGGCCAGTGTGCCGATGGAGTTCATGCTGAAGTGCCGAAATTATGGTGCCAACAATTGTCGAGTGCACTCTTTCGGTGTTAATTGTGTTTACCGAACCCCATTTGCTTTGACCATAATCATCCCTTCTGACGTGCTGTCAAGGGGTTAAAGCATTCATTTCTGTTTGCGCACAATTTTCTCCTCGCAAGGGGCGATGCAAAGTTTGTTGATTCAGTGAGGATCTTTCGCCAGAAAACCAATTTGTCATTCAATTAACAGGCCTCCATTAGGACCTTTGACCGACACTTTTCGTAATTTCACAGGGAATTTTATTTGGTATAGCATATTTTCCCAGGTGCAAATTTGAACATTGCGTATACAGCAGAGTTTAATGGAACCATAAATTTCGCGAGTGCTCATCAGCTGCGTCCTCTCGCTGCATAAACTGAGTAACGAATGACAAAATACAACACTATAATGCATACAGAAGAGGTCTAAGAAACAGATCAGGACCTCTTCTGTATGAATTCCATTTTTGTATTCTGTCATTCTTTACTTTATGCAGCGAGAGGTCGCAGCTGATGAGCACTTGCGAAATTTATGGTCCCATCCAATTCAGCTGTATACGCAATCTTCAAATATTATGTGTCTTATCTCACATTTGCCCACCGATCTGATCTCTAGGGTCTGCAATCTTGATTGGCTTTACAATAAGTCAAACCACTGCATACATTCTTTGCATGAAATTGTTCGGTTTATTACTAGTTTCTTCAGGCGTCGTACCAGGTTTTCACTAAATGTGAAACTGAATCCATATCTTTGTGCAAGTTTATAAGAACATCATTTAACCAACTCGAGATTTTTATAGTTTCTACGAAATTTTCCTCGGCAATATATAACGTCCGCATTTAAATGTAGTTTTACTTATTCTCAGAAGCATCATTCATCGTGCACAGTAATTATAGTTATTGTAGATTCAAAATAAGGCACATTGTTTGATAATTATTGAGTCCGATTGCTTACGGTATATCTATAATGACGGGCCCAACAGTCCGTATGGAGAATCAGGGTAAATATACCAACAAACGCTGCTTGTTCTTCCTCAGAGATATCAGATTTCCCCAAGTTCCGCAATTTTCGAAAATAATTTCCAAGAGCTGTCCCAGAAACGTGATCAAAGCCAACATTTTTACATTTACCCAATAGTGTCCTGGTTGACATGGACGCATAATGAATACATAATCTTGCAACAGGCATTTGCCTTTGCCAGTGTTACACGTTTAAAGTTTCAACGGACTGCAACAAAACTTATCTCGAAGCTAAATAACTTATCATGTTGTCCAGTATTCTCCTTATTTGATCTGACACAACGTACACACCTGGCTCAAGTGGTTCAATGTTAGATTTCAAATCGACCGTTTTAAAACAAAAGAAATATTTTCACAGAATACAATTAAAATAGTTCTTCCTGGTCCTTTCTGGTAAGTCAGAAATCCAAAAATTTTGACTGTCCGTGTATAAGTGACCGCTTCCAAGTAATAGGTCTTGATTTTGCAAGGAAACATGCACAAACCCTCTGTTGTGTTATAGTCATTCAAGCTTTGGGATAGTAAAACAGCGATTCATTTATTTGTTTTCCGATAGAGTAGGCATTTCGGACTAACAAATCTTAGCAAACCTAACTTTAGCCTGTGGACAGAAATCTTATAAACCGGGCTTGATATATTCGTTGCTTGAAGAAATGATGATCCTTCATTAATGCCGTCGCGTTGGCATTTATTACGGTCGAATAACGTATATCCACCTGCAGCAATGTTGTTTTCGATTATACATTAATCGAAAATTTTGGGTTAATATACATTCAATTCGAAACTAGCACACGAAATAATTCTTCGACTGATCATATTGTGGAGAACTTGGCAGTTTCTGCAGCATTCGAAGTAACGTTAAAAAGTGCATGGCTGCTGACTGAGAAAAGAAGATTTCCTAAACGAGAGCGATAGATTCCACTTGATAACTTCCCTATGTACATAATGGATAAGGTGATCGTGCAGATTTCAATAACATTTGTCCTCGACTGGTTCGGCCGATTAAACGCAATAGAGGAAATGGAAGGCTTTAGTACAACCGACATATGAACCACGAGGTCCTACGAGGTCCCCACTGGGAGCCGGCAATCTATACACATTTCTTCCAAATTAACCACATTTTATATGACTTCGTGTAATATCTGCCAATTCGTATACAGTAAGCCGACGGTCACAGTACTCTTCTTTAATCCAAATGTAATACCAATAACGGGTCCTAGTAAAGCTTCTAAGCTCAGGTCAGCTGAAAATTGGCTCTTCTTGGGCCATTTTCTTGCTGTCCAGGTTTTCGAATTCCGCAAATACCGCCAAATTTAATTTCAGTTTGCGAAGTAAAATTTTCAAACCTCTCAAAAACGCTTATTATTAGAAACTATAATCGTAAAAAAGGAAAGCATTAGGCCTTTTCGAAACCCTAAACCATTTGCGTTCTTAATTGCTTTACTGAATTTCCTCGCAGGTAGACGTTCTACACTTGTTCTTAGAGGATGAACACTACAGTTGTCCAAAAACGTATACATATCATATTAATATTCCGGTAAATACTCGTTTAGGCATGAATGAAAAAGGGCTTACATTATGTTTGAACTTAATAGTTTCATGTAAACTAAGTAAGCTTTTGGATTTCATTGTATGTATATTGTGGTATTTCCCAGTTTCATTTGCACAAACTGTGAGCATGTGCATCAAACGTACGAAATATGACTCGAGAAATCATTTTCTTACCTGATTTTTAACTTCCTGTGACCATTTTGTGTTAGTCCCGAAGATGATTGTAAATTTGCTGTATGGAGAACTTATGGGTTTTCATCTTTTGTTGCAATGACTTGATTTATATGTTGCCTGCACTTCACATATCCCGTCTTTAGTGTGTGGCCTTCATCTCCATCACCTGCATCATTCTCTCCATCGTATCGTATTGTTTCAAAACGACCCCGAATTTAACTCTACCAATCATCGAGTTGACACGAGGGGCCTTTGCCGATCAAGTTATTCCCTCCTTGACCGGCGGCTCCATAAACGGCAGCACTTCAACAAGCGTATATGCAGAGGACAACTTTACGATCTCCGCAGTGGGCCGTTCCCGATTTCATCATTCCTTCATGTATATTGAGAGCATCTGCAATATTTGGTTCACCGTGGAGTTTTTAATTCGTCTCTTCGTGACCGACGATCTTCTCAAGTTTCTTCGTTCTCCGCTCAATCTTATCGACATTCTCGCACTTCTTAGTTTTTACACGGATGCCGCCCTCCTCCTTATGGCTTCAGACGCGCCCGGATTAGGCAGTTCGGCGGTTGAGTTGCTGAGCATTGTTCGCGTTATGCGGCTTTTCAAACTCACACGATACATTTCCGGTCTGAAGATACTCATCCTCACATTTAAGGCAAGTGCCAAGGAACTCACTCTTCTGGTATTCTTTCTTATGGTCTTCATCGTCCTTTTTGCGGCCCTTGTATTCTATGCTGAACGCTTCAGTCCGTCATCAAAGAGCGACTTCACATCCATACCCATTGGTCTATGGTGGGCAATTGTTACTATGACGACGGTGGGCTATGGAGACATGGCACCCAAGTCCTCTGCTGGTAAGCCAACGTCCTACTTCATATTTACTCATTATATTTTATGCACGTATGCATGCAAATTAAGAGAAGTCGGTGGACTACAATTGCCGTTGTAGATGTTATTGCCGGCAAAGACAAGAGAAACTGGACTGGCCATTTCAGGTTTATTAGACGTCATCAGCCAGTCATACTCAACCCGAAGTGGTGCGCCACCCGATGCTCAAGCTTGCAAACTGTTTCGATCAGAGCTCAAGGCTTCAATCATTCAGCCACGAGCTTGTTGTCTTGCCGGTTTAGGTCGGGAGATACTGACACTTATTAATGAACGTTCACAGACCGTAAATGGAACTCACTTGTCCCGCTTTGCCTGGGGCCTCATTTCTCGGGCTCTGACAGCAGCTGTAGTAGCTGGTAGTCTAGGCAGAAAATTTCAGTGATCGGCGAACGTTCATCAACGAGTTTCGGCTAATAAACCTTAAATGGCCATTCCAATCTCCCTTGTCTTTGCAAGCAATACTATATACCTATACTATTAGTTGCTGTGCGGCTGCTGTCAGAGCCCAATATAAGAGGCCCAAGGCACAGCGGATAGGGTGATTTCTGTTAGCGATCAGTGGACATTCATTGAGGATTTGCCGTTGTATCTGATTTTTAAACAGTTCGTCTTTTTTGCGTCTTAAGAATTTAAATCGCAACGAAAGTTCTGGCGCATTTAATTGCTCAACACCTTGTTATCACGATTTCCATTTTGTTGCTTAAATTGGAAATGTAGCCGATAACAATCTCAGCGCCTGAGGCGCGCAACTGCTAATGGTTTTTCCTTTTTTCCTTCGTTAGCATGTCTACAGTGGGCTGGTGATGGTTTCGTTAGGCCCCAGATTCCGTGTAAAAATCCCAGCCCTAACAATTGATGATTTCTGTTCTGTGGTATCGGTGGGCCCAAGGGAATGGAATATATATTCGAGTTGACTTAAGCCTCCAGACTAAAATTTTTGATCTGTTTCTTGCGGTATCTGCTTCAGGTTCGGCAGACAATTACGGTCCTTACAGTATAAAGTCTGCAGAGAGTACTTTGAAAGTCCGCTACAAAAGTTTTTTTTTCAAATTAGCCTATTCCTGCCAACTAATGACTGTGGCGGATGACACCTGGTGTGCCCTTTCCTTCACAAAACTCTCTTTGGACTGTACTAGTAGCAGTATTTAAATAAAAAATTGCTCAGGAAAGTCGACTAATTTTCAGCTGTTATGCATATGTCCAGGTGAAGTATGCAAGGAAGAACGATAACCTTATAATTAAGAAGGATAAATAGATACCAGCTGCCTGGTTTTTGCGATGAATTCTACGACAATAAACCTAGGAATGTAAGAATGCAGGGTATCACGTAGAAAGTAGTCAAAGTTGCCATGACTAATATGACATATCTTCTGGTTAGATCTCCCGTCAACGTCTGACACTTTTGACAAACGAATGATCCGTATTTCGCAAGACCATCAATCACTTAAACCCGTCTCTGCTCTTCTTACAATTTTGGCCTTGTGTGAACCTGTAATTCGTACACAAACCGACTTTTTACATGTTGACATTTAAATCGTAAAAAGTTACAAATGCATGCCTTGGATAAGAAACTTGTCCTTAGTGATAAAACATGCTAGAAGAAATTGTCTCCATTTGTGTAAATAATGCAGAACAAAAGCTTGCATTTAAATCCTTGTACTTGTAACCGAACTGATGTATTGCGGTAAAAAAGCCTGAAAAACCTGATACTATCGTAAAACTTTGCTGAAAATAGAATCAAGAAAACAAAAACAGAAGTTACTAACAACAATGACTATAACAACTCACTTAATCTTCAGACGGTGGCTGCTATAAGCTAACAACAAGCATGGCTGATCTTTCAGAAGCGAGCAACTCAAATAGTGCCCGCCTAAAAAGGCTGGATTGTTATAAACTTTGATAGGGAATTCGCAAACCATGTATAAATTAAAATATAATGGTCCCTTTTATATGCAGCATGGTGAGGACGTGGTGGGCAATCAACACAGTACGACAAAGAAAACGTTTGATGAAGAGTTTATTTATATCATATATTGGTACTTGTATCCGCATCTTTAAATATTTATTTTCATGAAGTTTTTCTTTTAGAATGCGACTAAATAAACGGGCATTCGGAAGCTAGCTACCTACTTTATTCGCAATACCATTGGATATTGCAACCCGGACATCGATTTAATAACCCAACTTAAGTCATCCTTTTGGATCAAGAACGCATTTCAAAATTTTGCTTACATTTTCATGATATACGTCAGCGGCTGTACCCTTGTCTCGTTAAAGAAATAACTGCGGAGTAAAGGAAGATTTCTGCTAACGGCACAACGCGTCTTGCATAAGATAATATCGTGAATTGAGTAACTTGTTAATTGGAATACCCGTATTAATGAGCTTGTTTATTAAACCGGTTGTATTATTAGCCTTCGTTGGTGAAAAAGTTGATACATAAATACAGGGTGTCCCAAAAATGCATAAATATTTTGAATAATCGTAAACTACGTGTTAATGCTAATTGTATTATTTCAAAAACGAAAAAAATTATAAGTATCATTTTATTGTTTCTTCACTGCATTTTGATTGTTGCAATAGTGTGACTGAATTGCAAGAAGCCATTGAACATGAGTGCACCCGAATACCAAAGGAATTGATTCATGCTGTGTGCGATTACATTGCTTCGCGCTGTCAGAAGTGTTATTATCACAATGAACGTCAGTTTGAGTACATTCAGTGAAAACAAAACAATCGAATAATACTTTCATATAAACTGGAACACGCGCATCTCAAGAAATTTAAATTTGATGAAGATGTTCCTTTGGGATAAAATAACTTTAATGAAGGAATTTTCAAGTTTAGCACCCCAACTCGTCTTTGGACTAACAAGACTAACAAGAAAAGTGCAAGGAACAACTAAAATTTCAAAACCATCGAAAAAATCAATAGTTTTACAAAGTGAGATATGATTGGTAGGTTTGGTCTCAGTTAGTTTCTGTCCTGCGATCTCTGTATTTTCAATCTTTCTTTGATGTGTTTATTAATACCATCCAACTCGACGTGCCGGTTGATGCATGAATCGTCGTCGAGGAATTCTCGGCCATTTTTGGAGTGGCGAACTCCGACGGTGCGTGTTTTATCCCATGAAAAGGTGTGTCCTGTGTCGAGGCAATGCATGGCCACTTCGGAAACACGATCATGTCTATTCACGGCCGATTGGTGTTCGCGGATGCGTGTGGAGACGGATCTTCCTGTTTGGCCACAATATACAGTGTCACAACTTTCACATGGGATTTTGTAGATGGCTTCTCTTTTATTGAGGTAGCTGACCCCATCTTTGCGGTGTACTAGCTGGGTGCGTAAAGTAGCCATCGATTCGTGCGCGACTTTTATTTGGTTTTTCCGCAAGTGTCTTTCAACGAGTTCAGACACATTCCTTATATAAGTGAGGACTCGCCATGTATTTGTGTTGAGCGCTTGAGTGGAACTATCTGGTTCCTCTTTGTTGCATTGTTGTTGTTTCATGCATCGGCGTATAAAGCTTTTGGGGTAACCATTTCGGGAAAACAAATCAAACAAGTCATTG